ATTATTCATAAAAGCTGTCAATTTGAAAACATATCTTTCTATAGGCTTTCACTCCTTTTCTGCTATACTTTCCCTGGTTCCTCACTTCTTCCTAGAAACATTTGCCAAATAAACTATTTGTATTAAAATCCTTTCAAGCTGTGTTTTAAGGGGAACCTAAGCTAATACGTGAGTAGGTACATTTTTCTATGAATAGTTTCCTTGATTTTATTATTATCTCCAGGGTATCCATGCACCTGTCAAAGTTTACAAAACAACATTAAATAAAATCTCTAGAGATGTGGAGATAAAAGAAAAAGACTGAGAAAAAATCTTTTAGAAACACCATATTTTAGAGAAGGACATAAAAGGAGGAGCCTACAGAGAAGAGAGGAGTAGTCATTAAATGAAAATAATATTAGACGTTTCACATTGTGTATCTTGAAAATTTTTGCAGGTGGACTTTCAGATTCTGGGACCATCACAAAATCAAAGTTAAAAATTATAATTTGAAAACATCTTTAGGGTGACCAAAAAAATCATTTTTAAAATTCATTTCTTAGAATCCAGTATAAGACATTTTCTTTTATAGAACATTTCTTTGAGCTGGAAACACAAAGTAAATATTAAAATGGTGATATTTGGAAATGAAAAGTCTTGTGTAATGGATAATTTCAGAAGGTCTGTAGTTACTTGATATTGATGATGAGTGTGTGGTTTGGGGTGAGTCTCAGTTTTATTTAAACTTGTAATTCAACAGTGAATTTGGGAAGTATGTTCAAAATGGGGGAAGTGTGTGGGATTTGTATAATTTCCATTAGCAGGGATTATTAGGTATATTAATTTTCTAGATAATAGATCACTAGCAGAATCCAAAGCAGAACAACTTCAGTGATAGTAATCTTTTCTGGAAAACATCTGCTGCCAGCTGAGTGTGTTTACATTTTGACAGCACTGGCAGATGTGCTTGTCGTCAGCCCATCTGTGTGGTGCTAGGAGGCTGGAACCAAGGAAGCTGGGCTGAACAGACAGCAGAGAGCTTACTATAATATCATGATTTGTTCCAGAAAATGCAAATTAGCACTTTTTTCCTTCCGGAGCTACTATTGCCTTAAAGCTAACTGATTTGTGTGTATTACACAGAATGAGCAACACCTTTCAGTTGTGGGATCACTCTTAGAAATGTATTCTGTAAAGATATACAACTATCATGTACCTGTAATCATTAAAAATAAGAACAAAATATATATATATATAAGAAATGTAGCCATGGTATAATCAATATTTTAGAAACGAGAGTATTCATTTCTGTAAAAAATAATTTAAGACAATTTAGAGAATACATAAATATATCAGTTCAAATATTTTTCATATTTAAAAATATTATTAAAAAATATTTAGTCTATGGGAAAAGAAAACACTGAATAAAATAAGTATCAGCTTGTGCAAATGAAACTCGTATTTATTCTCTCTTCTTGTATTGATTGTTATATTCAGAAGTGTTATCCAAAATATATTCTTTAGAAAGTAATTTCATAGCTAACAGAAGTTATTTATAAAATTGTAGATGGCTTTTTAAACAATAGAAATTTCTTTTCTTATTGCAAAATTTTCATTCTCTTATTATGTTAATGTACTTTCTGAATTTCCAAGAGGAAGATAGAGTTGTCATTTACTGAACACATTTTTGTGGAACACAGCCTGAAACGGTATTCTTTTGTGTTTACTTGATATATTCTACTTTGCTGATTGAGTCAGAAATCAGCAATCTGGAAGCAAAAAATAAAAATAAATAAAGTTAATTTTATATTGATATTCAATTCTATCATATAATTTGTTTGATATTCCAGAAACTAAAGCAACCAGGTGACTGTAAATTTTGTCTTTTAAGAATGGATCAAACAGTAATTTTATTCTTAAAATAAGAATAGAATAGAAAAAAATTATTCTATTATTTTTTTGTTTTCATGGGCTCATACACAATGAAGCTAATATATAGGGGAAATCAACAAGCTGCCCACTTAATTTGGAGATTAGGTTACTTCCATCCTCAGGAAGATAAAGAAACTAGGAAAAAAAAATCAGTTTAAAATGGATGATCTTAGCCTTCTGCAGAAATTCAACCTTAAGAGACTTCTATAAACACTTGCTAATGGAGATGAACAAAATGCCCAAATTCAATCAATTGCTTATGTGGGAAGCTTGTAATTAGACTTTAAAATAGCTATAATGTAATACATTTTGTGATATATAGAGTAAGATTCTAACATATGGGTAATCCAGTTTGTATGAAAAAATATACCAAGAAGAGTTTGGAGCAAGAATTGACAGTTTTTTTTTTTTTATCAAGCAGCATCCATGGGAGAGATACTGACCTCCAAGGCACAGACATTCTGGTTATTAGAGATGATTGTCTTATCTGGGGGCATGAATCATTTATTAGATTTTCCCAAAGTCCAAATTATATATGCTTTCTATACACCTACCTATTCTTTTGATCTGTGGTCATTAAATAATCATCTATTTTGCAAAATTAGTTTCCCAGGGAACTTCTTAACAGTTAATAGGCACTATTAAAATGTGATGGTTAAAAAGGTGGACACTGAAATCAGTGAGTTCAAGTCTTTGTTCTCTTAGTTCTGAGTTTTGTGCCCTTGAATGCATCATATGATCTATCCCTTTATTGTATCTGTAAAACTGTAATATTTGGAGCACCCATATCATATACATGGTAAGATTAAATCAGTTTATGTATGTGTGTGTGTATGTGTGTGTATGTATGTGTGTATATATATATATATACACACACACACACATACACACACACGCATACATACATATGTCTGTTTGGCCCAGAGTAAAGACAAATTAACTTTCAATAACATAAAAAAGGTGAGATTTAAATTGGCACCATGAATTTTTGGGTTACTATAAGCATATATTCAATTTATTTTACACTAACATTATAAGTCCTTGTAAATTAGATTAGTTTGATTTAGTCACCCAGAGCTAATAAAGCTTCAAAAAAGTAGAAAAATATAAATTTCAATAAACAATCTGGAGAGACCCTGCCTAATTAAACTGAGTAGTTCATTTTGATACCTGTATTTTAAAATTTGTAGTGTGTAATATAAGGGATGGTGGGAATAATGTGATTTATACTTATATCATATACTGTCTAGAACATTAGAGATAATTATAGTATAAGGCAAATGAAAAATGTATGTATAATTTTTAATTCTGGGAAAATGTCTGTAAAAGATACTACATTATGGCATTTCTTAAAATATGTACTAACCCTTTGCACTCGGATATCGAGTGTGACTCGACATAGTTAGCAAAAATTATAGAAATTAAAATTACTCTTTGAATGTATGAATAATTTGAAATATAAAAAAAAATCCAAATAAATAAGTTTGTATGAAAAGAAACTCCAGTTTCTTATTCTACTCCCATGCTTTGTAAAATCTGGGGTATTTAAAAAATTAAATCCCGAGTAGAATAAAGGAATCGAGAAAAAAGCAAGCGAGTGCAAAGAGCTAAAGGTGCAACAATTCAATACATTTGGGAATTCTTTTCTAGAATTAGAAAAATTCTATTTTTTTTTATTTCAAGACTTCTCAGAGTTTGTAATTCACTATTATGCCTTGTTAATTTCTGAGAACATTGCAGACTTATGTGGGAATATGCCATTCTTTCGCAAAGCGTGTCGAACCAAAGTGTTTCTCAGAACACATTTTTGAAAGGACTGAACTGTAATATCAAACAATAGGTTAAAAAGAAAGATTATAACAAATCTATCCACAGTTTCAGGCAAAAATACACCTAAATCTATTTTAAAGAAATAATCATTTTAAATAATATTTAACAGTAGAATATTTTTTAATATTGCCTTTTAGAAAACTGATTCAAAGTCATCAAAACTCATACCGAAATCCTGAAAGCTCATTCTTAACATCAAAAAGTGGAGTTCTTCATTATGAGATCTGATTATATACCAAGAATAGATAGGAATGACCTATTATTGTACGTGAATCTTTGAAAGTAAAAGGTAACTAATGAAAATATAAGTAACATCTTTCTTCATTAATCATTGTTAATGTTTCATTGTCTCTAACATTTGTTTCAAAATTGCAGAATATTAAAAGTGACTTCATGAAAAATTTCTGCAAGAAGCCTGGGGGCAATTACTGATGCATGTAATCCTAACACTTTGGCAGGCTGAGGAGGAAGGATCGCTTAAGGCCAGGAGTTTGAGACCAGCTTGAGCAACATATCCAGAGCCTATCTCTACAAAAATAGAAAAATTAGCCCAGTGTGGTGTCATGAACCTATAGTGCCAGCTACTGGGGAGGCTGAGGCAGAAGGATCACTTGAGCTCAAGAGTTGCAGTGAGCTATGATGATGTCACTGCGTTCTATTTCAGACAACAGAGTGAGATTCTGTCTCAGAAAAAAAGAAAAAAAATTAAAGAGCTATTTCTGTGGAAAACAGTGCAGAGTCTGAAAACATATACTTGCAAGTTATGGAAAGCCATGGAACACAACTTAAGCATGTAGTTTTTTAGAATCATCTCCTGACAAGGCAAACTGCAAACAGTAGCAAGTGGATCAAACAGCAGTCAAAATACAAATTCAAAGAGCAGCCAAAGTATATGCAGTGTGTACGAAGCCATTGGCCTCTTCAGCCATGAATCTAAAATGACCCACTAAAATTCATCAGTGGGAGTATAAATTGGATATAAATGACTGTCACTTATGTAACACTCCATTCCCTCATCCACAAACAGAATGTACCGCACAAAATATTTTTTAAGGGTTTCCTAATGTTAATGGGGCTTTTGGTATTATTCATATTCTCATGAAGACACTTAAAAATAAATGCTTTCCCTAATTGCCAACCAATTAGTCTTCAGGGTTGAGGAGAGGGGAAGACAAAAGCACTAACAAAAGCTTGTTAAAAACAATCACTTAATATTGACATATGAAGTGAAACCAAGGGCTTGGATATAAAACATAAGAGAAAAATTGAAAAAAAAGGGATTTAATTTATTTTACAATTTTACAAATGATAAAACAATACCCAGTTGATATACATAAACAATAGGAAAACAGTGTTGAACAGAATGAACCTGACAGAATAAACCTTATCTTTCATTCCACAAATCGTATAAGAAACACTCAGTAGCAATTATCCTGTGCAGCAGTGCTATCTCTGTAAACTTTTTTTTTCCTGCTATATACATTTGAAACACTTGTGCTTTTGCCTACACAAAGAAACAGTATTTATTAAAAGGTGCTACTTAAAAGAGAAACACAAGGCGTGAGGCCACAATCTGAAAACTGTAATTCAAATACATTGCTAGCTTGACAAATTTTTTTTCCTTTTTATTTATTTATTTATTCTTTAACATTTTGGCATAGTAGACCCTTATTGTAACTCTAGGTATGAACAACATAGAATTCAGTTATAAAGCATATCCCTCTTAAAACAAGTTAGTAACTGAAGTCTCAGAAGAACTTCTTTATTGTAAAGTGGTCTCACTTATTATCTCCAGAGCAGATCACAGTGCAGACCCTGAAGATGTTAGCATAACACAAATCTAGAGTGTACATATTACAGACTGAGTGTGTAAACACACAGATTCACATATATAGCATTGTATATATGCATCACACATGTCTATTTGTACTATATAGATATATCTATAGCACATATATAATAAAATATCTATTTCTAGGTGGGCTTTATTTGGATTTTCTTTAATCAAATACAAACAATGACCCTCACTGAATTTTTAAAACACTGGTATATTGATAATATTTGATGGGAAAACTTTCAAATCTGTAGAGATGAAAACTAACTATACATAACTCTTCCCATACCCCTTCCACAATTATAGATACTCCCTACAATAACCATATGAAAACAATTCTTTTATGAACCAAATATCACATTATGTGCATTATGACTAACTGGCTCAATTAGAAATAAATTACTTTGTTCACCCTTTTTCTGTGTAGTAGCTTAATAACTAGTTGGTATGTACACTACCTCTAGCATTATTTAAATAAATTGCTTCTGTAAGCATATATGTAGAAATTCCCATTAGCACTGATATACAATTCATATGCTATACAATACATGAAGACATTTTAATGACCAGCACCTTCTTTCAGATAGAAAAACTTCCACAGTAGTTTCATCAGTCCTGAGGGCAGAATCATGAGATTTGCCCAGAAAATCTATTACTGATTCACTTTTTGTTTCAACAACTTAATATTAATTATAGAACAGGCTGAGTAATAGTGATGAAAATGTTTCCATGGCCTATTCATGTCAACAGCATAATAACAACCATGTTCTGTAAAGGGCAGGAGTATTTCACAATCAGCTGCCTGAACACTACCAGGTACAGGATTAAATCATGAAAAATAAATTAAAAACTGTGAATATGTGGTATTTTCAAAAAAAAAACCCCAAATATTTCAAGTATGTATTTATAATTTGATTTCATTATGATCCCTCATGCCCCTTTATTGGTTAAATATCAATTACTTTTACTCTTGCTATTACCCTTCAATGATTTCCTTGCCCCAACCCTCTAAGAAGGCCACAGTAGATAGTCAAGGAGGAGGGCAGATGAAAGGTATACGACAGGGAATGAAATGGGCTTGTACAGTTTGTCTTCTTTGAACACTAAATACCTTTAATTGAATTCATTCTTGAGTATTGAAAGTTCCCTGAGATGAACAAAAGTAGTCTCAGTCGATACTGAAGCCCTTTTTTTAATGTAGAACACTTTCGGAACTGGGAAAAGTATTTAGAGAACACAAAACAGAGGGTGACAAAGCAGTGTGAAAAAGCTAAGAAAGGCACTACTCAATCTATGAGCTAAACATCAATGCACAGAACAGTGAATGGCTGAGATATGTTTGCTGTGGCCTTAAAATTGTTTAAATACATTGGTTGAAAATGCACTAAAAATGGCAAGGTATCTTGCTACTGCTTTTTAGAAACATACTTTGAATGACTGCCGAGATGGATTTTACCAATAAGAAATTTACTTGTGACTTCTAGATTTCTATTGAATTCAGATTAAAGGCTACTAGAACAACTTATCCTTTGCAAGTAGTCCAAGTTTCAATTTTATAAATTGCCTACTTTTGATTTGTTAAGTACATCAGACTTTTCAACTTTAAATTCAAAGCTTGCACCTAATTCTCTGAAAATTTCCAACAGAGGTTTAATATTAAATAATAAAAGTACATTAATACTTTATTCATTTTTAGCTATCAGTCTATATGCATTAGGTTTTTCTTTCTTAGAGACACATAAATTCTCAGAAAATATACTCTTCTTTATCCCAAGGTTTTACAATATTAAAAAAAAATGTAATTAAAAATTTTGAGAACAATACTACTGTGAATATCCTTTTCAATGATTATATATATATATATATATATATATATTTTCATTCCATGCTTTTTATTCATTTCTCAGACTGTTTCCCCTAAGAAACAAAATATACATATTCCCCATGCTATTTCTTCTTTCCTCACATTGCTTTCCCCAAGAAACGAGAAGTCAAACAAATTGTTTCAGGCCGAAGTAGAAGTGAGAACACAGTGCTTCTGCTTTCTAAAGAAACAATCTACCATCAAAATTACTTACCAGCATTATAAGTTACAAGAAAACTAGCCTATTAGTCAATTGTTATATATTAAAATTTTAAAAATTGATTTTTTAAATAATCATATGTGTTTCTTTAAAAACATAGTTGTGTGATACGGTGACTAAATTTAACTAAAGAAAAATATTGGTCAATTGAATTCATTTTAAGTGCAAAATATTGACACGCAGTTTCATTCTTAAAACTCTTAAAATTAATCATCTCTGTGATGAAAACCTCACCATAAATCATGGTATTTCTGCATGAAGAGATTTCATAATGATATAAACAGCATGCCAATCTTTCTATTTGAATAACAAGGGGAATATTGAAGAACTGGAATTCACATGTCAGCTATGTCTATCAAACATTTATTCTAAGGGGAAAAAGGCTTCCACAAAATTATTATGATATGTAAAAGGTGTGGTCAGTCTTCCTTCAAATAAAAATAAAGTTTCAGTTTGGAAATTTTAAAATATTTAGAAAGAACTTTCACATTAATAGCATAATAATATATTCATGTTATTAATATATTATTTTCACGAAAGGAAAATGATTTGTTGTGTAGAAACATGAGTATAATCTTTGGTACCAAAAGAGCATGTTTTTCTGCTTATTTTACCAACTTAGATGACAGAGAACATCTTTCCTTTAGAATGGGTCAATATTACTTAGTGGTACAGTTTAGCTGGTACCTTCTACACCATTAGAAAATAATCTGGAGGTTTACAGTTGTGCAAAATAAAACTTTAAAAAAAAGTCTTTGTGTGATTGCTTTTTAAAAATATAAGAACTTTAGAATTGATTACTCGAAGTTTATTTTTCTCTTCCTATGTATCTCAGAAAGGATTTCTAAGCACCCCAATACCCAAACCAAAAGAGATTCCAGAAGACAAACTAAAACATAAACAAAAACATAGAATTCATGATCAGACTCAGAGTCCTGACTGAAGGCATTTACTTGAGTTGCTTGATCTTGTAAATTTCACTGCTCAAACTGTTTCCATCTTGATTCCTGCTGATGAGGATGGTGTAACTTCCCAAGGGCTGAGTTGTGTTCCTGGGGTTCCTCTTCTAATGTGCTTGGCTTTGCAGTGGCAGCCCGACAGTGATGAACACATTTGCTTTGCTAACCAATGATGAGTGCATTGTTGGATCTTGTAAACACTACTGATTATACATTCAAACTGTATTCTTAGTGGAAGTGGCACTTACTAGGACCCTTGAAGTCAAAATATTTAATTTTTAGAGCACTTTGCAGGTATTTCATCAGCTGGTAGTGGATTTCTCACGAACGTCCTTTATCAGCCTTTCAGTTAATTGGTGGATGTCGAGACCCAGCCAGGTTTTGGATCCTATTTTCCAATCTTCAGAAGCATCTTCAGAAAAGAAGTGCATATTCAGTTTGTGTGTTTTAAAATGTGTTTTATTGCTTTACACACTTTCCTGTTGTCAGTTTTAGAGCTCCTCTATTATGTAGCACATTTAATGTTTTGAATTCTAATGGCATCCTGTGAGGACTTGCATTGGAAAAGTACCTATATTTTAAGTCATCATAGTAATGATACTTGACAGCTTTTCCATTTAAATCCTTAGGGAATGGCCAGAATCCATACAGGTGAATTTCATCGCAGAATCTTGTGGCAAGTGTATACATAAGGAGACCTGTGCTGGGTCTTTTGATGGGAACTTTGTTTGTCAGCCAGTAACTGGAGAGAGAAAAAAAAAAAAAAACAGAAGAGAAGAATTTATAGAAACACAAAACATACTTTATAGCAAGTATACTATGTAGAAAATTTAAGAGTTATACTTATGAATAATACTTTAAAAGATTACTGAAGAAATAATATTTTAAACATTTAGAAAATTTGATGTTTTTATTTTATTCTTCTTTGGTCTTTATTTTCTTGCTTATTCTTGAGGTTACAAATAACCAGGGAACCTGGAATGTAAGTATATGTTATTCTGGAATCTCACCTTTAAAATAAATTGGCAGCAAACACTTATACAATATACAGAATATAATCATGATGGAATATAAATATGACTGCAAAAGGCACAGTAATTGGGTATAGTAATTGGGTATATAAATGCTCTTAGAAAAAAATAATTTGAAACTATGTAGATTTTCATAATGTCTGACATTTCAATTAAAAATCCAAACAAATAAATACTTTACTTGCGTTATACCAACTGACTTATTCAACTCCAATTGTTCAAGTCACATTTTCTTAAAGCAAATTAAAAATATTACCTCAACCCACATAAGAAAAGCAACAAAAACAAATAAATTATAGGCGTAGAATAATTGATAAATAGTTCACCACTTACACAATTTAACATTTTGTTAAACAGGAAAAATATATTTGAATGCCAAAAAGGATTTTATAGTATTCATTTGCAAAAGCAATAAATACTTCAAAAATTTTAGAGCCACCATCATTGCCAAACTTCTTGGTCTGAAAAGCTTGCAAACACACAAGTTAATCAGCACTTCTGCAGGGATGGGGGTTTCCATTATTCTCTTGGCATGTTCATTTACTTAAAGACAACAAATTTACATGAAAAAAGCTGGAAGAAGAGTATGAATTTTCTCTTACTTTCTAAGGTGTCCAATTATAAATACAATAAACTTAATTAATTGTTTGGGTTTTTAAACTTTTGTTTTTATTGTTTTTTCCTCTATGGAGAAATACATACTCTGTCAACCAAATGTAGTGAGAAGATTATGTTAGATTCTGATCACTACTGCATTTTAGTACACTTGCTTTAGATTTATATAATATTCTTTCTTTTTTTTTTTTTTTTTGAGACAGAGTCTCGCTTTGTTGCCCAGGCTAGAATGAGTGCCGTGGTGTCAGCCTAGCTCACAGCAACCTCAAACTCCTGGGCTCAAGCCTCCCAGAGAGCTAGGATTACAGGCGTGAGCCACCGCGCCCAGCTTAATATTCTTTCTTTTTTTCTCTTTTAAAAGCATTCATGAAGCTTTTCAGAGGAAATAAAATATATTTAAACTATTGATTATGGAAAAAGGTTAAAATGTCACTTTATTTCATTTGCTTAAAGAAATATTGTACGTTCAAACCTCATTAGAGACATCTAAAACAGGGAAAATATTCCTAGCCATTATCATTTATATTTTATCTTTTTTCTCCCTTTTCCCAAACAGGATTGACCTTTCACTTTTTTATTTTTCTCATTTGATAAAAAACATTGATTAAATATTTCCCACTATGTGAACTGTGGTATGAACCTTTTATTATCATAAATGTTTTGCAAAAGTCTATTCTCAGTAAAGAAGATTCACATGCAATTTTCAGAAAGGAACAGCTAGGAATTTTCTCATAACCTAAAAGTAGTGGAATGATCAGAAACTATACCTTATGTGTTATTGACAACATGAAGAAACCACACACAGTGATTCCATGCAAGGAGCATAGTTAAATTTCAGTTTGAAGGCTATGAAGATGCTGTGATATGGCCTGAAGCTCTTTGGGCTCTAAGTAAGTAGGTGTTCTCAACATGAAATAATAATTATAGGAAAGTATTGTGAGTATGATCCATGTAGATGATAAATATCAAGTGATAAAGTTGGCTAGTTAAATATGTTTTTATTTATACATTTTTAAACTAGGCAAAGAATTCAAACTTAGTAAAAATAAATGAATATTTTCCTGAGGAAATGTAAATTATTGGAAATAATTTGTCAATATGAAATTTATGCTGAGTTATTTCTAAAGTGAGAAAAAAACAAGGAGCGGGAAATATCAATATATTGCTCTATTATTTGTATGGGACTCCAAAGTCTCATTATCAATAAATACCTCCCATTTCTTAATTCTGGAGAGATTTCCTAGAAGTTCACTTAACTATGGTTGGTCATAGACAAAAAATACCAATGTAACTTTTATGCCCAATACAATTAGTAACTACAATGTTAAAAATGCTGAAGGCAAAATTATTGGCTTACATGCTTCAAAACAGTGTCAGAGATGTGCAAACACTCAACCTTTTTTGATCCAGGGCATCTTATGAGATTCCATAAACAGAAATGGTCACTGAAGTGTTTTAGAAATGAAACACTGATTGCAAAGCATCTTATTTAAAAATAGCGAGTGGATGAGAAACTCATGGTCTTATTTCAAGTAAATTAATCTATGCATTTAAAGTACTGAATTAATGAATTTAGTTTTAGAAATGCTAATAAAGAAGAAATTAAGTTTTGTGATTTTGTCTTGCAACACTTCAAATAATTTCAAAGAGAAATAAACTATCCATTTTTCAGGAAAGTTTTAAACAAGCAACAAAAAAACAAATGCCACTTATCCTATTGATTTCTAAAAACTGTCACAGGAAAATATATCTTAATAAATGGCATTGACATGTAACAGGTAAGTTGAAAAATACCTTAAGGTGGGTCAAGAACTAAGGCCACAAGTAAACATATTCTGTAAAATTAAAAAACACAGAGACTGATCAAATACACTCTGGAACTATATATAATGGGTTCATTATCAGTCTAATGTTGTGCTTGAAATTGTATAGGCCAATCTAAATGGTAGACATTCAGTATTTGCCCAGGAACAATTCCATATGTGGAAAGGACAAGAATGGATATTCTTTTTTAATTCTGTTAACATAATTGGTTAGATAATATCTATCAATGTATAAGCTAAAGCCCAGAGTACAATTTTAAAATCCATACCTGAAAGTATCCTAAGTATCATTATATATGTTATACAAGCTTATATTTAAAAACTGTGATTTTTTTTGAAAAGCTTAACAACATAAATACAATATTAACTTGTTTTAAATCTTAATTAGAAATTATTAAATTTAAAATAGTACATTAATACAATAATGAAATATTCACACTGTTTCAGTATGTGTTCTAATTTTATCTCAAACTTTTATCTGTTTTAATATAGTTAAAAGGTCAGGAATGTTTTTAATTCAGCAAATAATCTAGTTTCCATGTATGCATTTTTTTATTAAAGTTGATTTAATGAATGATAAAATCAATGTAGGATCCTTGTAGAAAAAAGAAAAGTATGGGGAATAAAAATATCACCTATAATCCAACCAGATGGAGATAATCACAATCACAATTTGCTCCAACTTTTGCTTCTCTAGCTGTTTTGGATCTAATATATATTACAGCCATTCATAGACATGTACAAAATATTTTTCATCAGCAGGGCTAAGTTTTATCACTGATATTACTTATTTCCATCTTTCCTTCCTTGCTTTCTCATTCCCTCCCTTCCTTCCTTCCTTCCTTCCCTTATTTCTTCTTTCCTTCTTTTTAAATTAAATATCACAATACTCTATTGTTGTAGGAAATAAATTTGCTTTGGATTTTATGTGTAAATTGAACATTTGATAGCTTTCATAGATCTCACTATTCCTAGAATGAAAGCTCTATTCTTGCTAAATAAGGTTTCTTATGTAGTCTTTCTCCAACATATTAGTTCCATTTCTTACTTCAAACAAACTCAAAACTTGGAATGTTTCTACCCAACAAATCAGTGTGCTATGGAGGGTATATTTATGTTCAGGAGACATAGGTTTGAATCTGAGATATTATACTTATTAGTATTTGAAAAAGCTGCTTCACTTCCTTGGCCCTCAGTTAACAATATTTAACATACAGGTTGTGATATTGTAACAGAGATAGTAAATATGAAAAACATAGCATAAAGCTTGACACATAGTAAGTAACATTAGTTGACTCTCAATATATCCCAAAACAAGTCATTCTTCAATGCCACTCACAAATCCCATCCCATTTCTCTCTTGCAATCTTGTGTGCCTACTATTGGCTTGATGATTGTGGTCATGTCATTTCACCCCAATGAATATGTTTCCTTAGTTGAAAAGCAGAAACACTTGATTCTATGGTTTTGGGGTTTCTTCTCTCTATAAAATTCTATTGCAGTTTTAAGTCTTCTCTCTCTGTGGAACTGTGTGAAACACTTTTATTACTATTCTGCTTCCTCCTCACAATTCTGTTACCTTTATCTTCTTTCAGATTGTAATGTTTTGCAAAGCAAAGAAGGCACTTAAAAATGCTTATTGATTTTAAAATCAGCAATCTTTTAGATTTTATCTCATAATAAAATCAGATAATCACTTGATGAGGCAAAATATCTGATTATTTCAAACAATCACCATTTTGGGGAAAAAAGCAAATAATGTTGTATTTATCAACATTGAATATACTGATGAGAATTCACCCTGAACACATTGGTAAATAAGAAATATTAATTTGTATTTATATTTAAATGAAGTCTAAAAGTTTAGAAGAAGTATAATAATAATTTTTCCTCTTAAAATCTTCTTCTTCCAAGAATCACACAGGGCAATTTCTAAAAGAATTTGAATAGAGAGGATCTCATGTGCTAATAGTTGTAATTTAATGTTATATTTTAAGCAATGTTTCCATTCATGGGCCCAGATATCCTTCTATCTGAAATGTGAGATGAAGTACATAATATAATGTACCTTTGTACTCTTAGCTCAAAGGATTGTCCTCTTTTTTCCTCTCATATTTATCTTCCCACAACTGAGTGTTGTACTTGGTTCCACAGGAAGACTCAGTCAAGGGTGAATGATATGGCCTCTGGTTCTTACATGCCTACAGTAATTTGAGATATTATAAAATAATTAGTTTTCTATAATTTATCTTTGCAGGACATGTCTGGTATAT